ACGTCCGTCTGGCTACAGTCCCCAAGTCAGCCGCTGCTGATACTGGTCAGCGGCTGACTCCAGGAATCCCAAGGCACAACTGCTCTACCTCGGCCTTCTTGGAGTCAGCTGCTGGTCAGTTTCAGCAGCGGCTGAATCTGGGACAGCTGGGGTGCTGCCGGTTTGGTCCCGCAGCCCCGAGGGGCAATGCTACGGGACCTACCTGGCAGCACTCCAGCTGCTCTGCCCCCGGATTCCCTGATTCAGCCTCTGGTCAGTTTTAGCAGCAGCTGAATCGGGAAAGCTGGGGGCAGAGAAGCTCCAATGGTCTGGCTGCCCGGAGCATATCCGGATTCCTGATGGTGCCGGGCCATCAGGATTACCGGACCATCAGATGCCAGACCATCGGAGTTTTACTGTACTTCTAATTGGCATTGCATCGCAGCTCTTCAGTTTTGTGTTAACTATTTTTTCATGTACTTAATAATGGAGGTGCTAGATTCGGTGTCTTCTGAAAATGCTTTCTAATATAGTGCTAAGAAAATGCAAAAAATGGACACTGTAGAAGTCAGTTCATATTTTGTAAATTATACATAGTCCTATTGTTAGTGGCCCTTTGTTTTAAGTTTTGTGAAAATGTGGTTATCTTTATGAACACCACTGGTAATAAATTAATTTCAAAATTACATAAGCAAATATTTTAAATTCGCATATAGAAAACACTTATACGAGGGGAAGGTCTATACTAGTCCCTATAGCGCGTCTTGTGAAGAAACTCTGTGCTGATAGGAGAATGCTTCCCACCAACATGGCGCCATTGTGTATTTTAATCATTATTTAAATCAGCAAACTTTGATTTAAATCCTTGATTTTAATTGTTTGCATTTGTATTTTTTTTATTTTTCTAAAGAAAATAAAATTCCTATTGGTTGATAACTATTAAAACATGTCAGATTGCAAGTAAATGTAGCTTTTATGCTAAATTTGGTGCTTCTTTTTTTAAAACAGGAATATGCATTAAATCTATACATTTATTTAAGCAATTATGAAGTTTAATTTGAATTACTTACTTACTAGATTATTTTTTTCTTTATTTGTGCAAAGCTTTACTTGAATGGAAATTTAATTCAATGTGTGTGCACACAAAATTTTTAAATAAAACTACCTTAAATGTACTGGATACTAAACTTTTCTCAAATTCAGCAAAATATTTGTCGTCATTTAGCACTTGATTAAATAAAGGAAATACCTGTTAGTGAAATGAACTGATTTTTCTGTTCATTATATCCTTTAAGATTTCAGAATTAGTAGATCTCATCCTCTCACACCTAGATTTTATTTATAAATTAAAATATGAAAACAAGTATTCCTGCCACTTCAGCTCCCAGTTGGATTCTTAATTTTGAACTAGATAAACTGAAATAAAGAAAATATTCTCTTTGCCTGCAGAAGAGGCTCCTGTTGTCAAACACTTGCTTAGCATGTTAAATTTATGGTTCCAGGTGCTTAACCAGTAATTTGCATCATTCCAGTGGTTTGACTTTCTTTAATACTTGGCAGCAAACATGTACTGCTTAATATTTTTTAAATTAGATTGTTTGGTCTTTACCAATATATATCCATGTTCTTGCAGAAACAGAAGATAATACACTTTTGAATAAGCAATCAGATCTTATTTCGAATGTGCACAGAAATCAGATATCTTGTATAGGAAGGTGCTTTTTTTGTTACAAAGTCTCTTGTATAGTGAAGTGGAGTATAAAAATGTAAAAATTAAAGTAGAATGCTCACCACATTCAAGTGAATTAGACTGTATTTGAACTTTATTGCATATCTGTATCTGATTGTAATTAGACTATTTGAACCATGTCTTGGCAAATTCTAAAAGTCTTGTTGCAGAACATGAGTTTGTCATTAGACTGAGATTGGGAATTCAGATCCTTGGCACTGAAATATTATCGTTTTCTTCTGCTCAGAAACGAAGAGCTCTTTTCACCTACGTATTCTGCTTTTTACTTTTCAGTTGGCAGTAGAGGAGAGTCTCCTTGTGACCCCCTTTTATTTGCTATTGGGAAAACACAGACATCAACAGAAATCAAAAGAGAATGCCACTCTTGGGACAGCCGTCTTCCAAAGTCACGTAACCCAAGATTCACCTGCAATCAAAGAGGTAGGTATAATCAGAGATGTGTATAATACACATGCCTATGTAAAAGCATGAAAAATGGAACCTTAAAAGGGATGCTAGTGAGTAGTTGACTACTCAGCTACCCAATAAGCATAAGTACTTGACTACTTACTTCCCCTATCCCCTTGCTACCTTTGTTTGAGACACAGCTGCGAGGGCGGGAGAGAGCAGGAGACAGTGCTGGGGGAAGCTGGCTTAAAAGCTAGTTTTCCCCCAGCATCTTCTCTGCAGTGCTGCTTCCCTTCCCTCACTCCTGCTGCCTTTGTCAGCAGTGGGGCAGGCTGCTCCGCCAGCAGCCCCTGGCTGGAGGGTCCAGTGGGGAGCTGGGGCCTCACATGTACAGGGGTTGCTGCCTATCAGCAGCCCCTGTTTGCGGCTGGCCACAGACAGAGGCTACTCTGACAGTGGCCCCCTGGCCACTGAGAACAGAGGCTGCTAGACTCATTGTGAGCCAGGACCAAGCAGTTCCAGCTTGTGATGGTCTGGGGTGTTGCACCTCTGCATTTTAAACGTAAGAGCCCAGCCGCTCTTACTACATTTAAAATGCAGAGCTGTTGAGTGGGGGAGAGAGCTCTGCAGAGTGGTCCTTGTTGACTAACTGTAAAGTCGATACAATTTGTATCAACTACACAATTAGCCAGATAATTGCAATTTAACATCCTTAAACCTTAATAACTTCTGTTTTCTTGTCTTCTCAGCTCCTACACACTCCTGCACATGTGTTGCCATCTGCTTCTTTCCTGTGTTCCATTTTTATTAATTCAATGCTGATATCCAAGGAGAATAAAAGGTAAAAATAATCCAGGCTGATGGCTTAAATAAATCAAATATCAGTTGAAAAAATTTCAACTGGACCCTCTTACATAGTGTTGAGACAGTTATACTTTTTTTATTCATTCCATTGCTTACCATAGTTCATAAGAATGCTTTTAATTAAAGTGTCATTTTTGCAACCGCTTAATTATCTTGTAAAACTGCTTTTTAAACATGTAACCTTCCCCCTAAAGCTGTAAGATTTTGTTAGATTGATTCCAATAAGTTTGATTGGTGAATGGGGATACATTTTCTTGGCTTCATGTAAAAAATAAACAAAATTGCCTTGTGTTTAGCCTTATAAATTGCCTTGTAAATTGTGTTTAGCCTTAATTCAAGTATCAACTCTTCTTTAAATGAATTTTTTTATCATTATCTAAGTCACTTTCCATTGCTAATATCACTAACTGAACTTTGAATCTGTTCATTTCTGCATACTACTCATTTTTATGTTAGGACTTAATTTGTTAGCGTTGCATAGCAAGCTTATGGGACTAATTGATTTAACAGTAATGTGCAACAATTTATGTCTGCGATACCTTCATTTATGAAGCTTGCTCCTTTGTGAGATCAATGTATACGTTATAGAAAATAATTCATGGGTTGGTGGCCTATGGTAGTTATTTTGTAATAGATTTATTAGCATGCCAAGTATACTGAAGCCGATAAAATACTACGTATACTAAGATTAAATTTTAGACAGCCTGTTCTTGAGAAGCTTTACCATAAATGTGGACATAAACAATGAGTTAGCTTTCTAGAAAGACAAGAGGGTTTTTTTAATTATTCATATTGTGTTAGGATCCAGACATACAAGAGATACTAGAAATCTTTGCTGGTACAGCAGTGTGCGGTAGTGTATGCTCGTGTGTGATGTGCCAGCGGGCAGAGGGGGACGAATTTGTTTTTGCTGATACAGAAATGCTGCAATGGCCCTCTTATTGGCAAAAGGAATGTTTATGCTGATATATCAGTTTCTATATAATTGACTTAATTCACTAAACCACCTTGAGCTATACAGGCAACAGCACTTTCGGCTGGTATAAGCTATATCTCCATTGGCAGGGCCTATCAGTAGGCCTGGTCAGAATGTCTGCACATATACTCTAACAGTTTATCCTAGAAATACTTAAACATGTAGCATTACTCATCTGAAATTCTATTGTAATCACTGGGTCTATCAAATAAAAGTTATATTAAGAGTGTTAAGCATTTGTAGAATTGGGCTCTAAAACGGTAGTGATATTCAAATATATAAGAATTGTATAAATACATATACATAAAATTATGCACTTTATCTTGATGTGTTAGTATCTGTCTCTGCCTGTCAGTGGTATATAATTTGCATATATTGTATGTGTTGTAATTTATATATATACTGGGTGTGTAGTGCAGAACGTGTAAATCAGTGATGAGTGTAGGGTGCCCATGTTATTCACAAGCAGTGAGTTATGCAGGTCACAGCAGACAAGTTCCAATTAAACTTTCAGACATGAAGCTGCATGTATTCTGTAGGTAACTATTTCAAACACATTATCAGGACTCTTAAACCCATTCTACCTTAATATCGTGAGATCAGCAGCACAAGTCTGAATGTGAAAGAGAGGACAGCTAGAAGCAATAACTTTTTAGAGTTTCTCTGAAGAGTGAGCTGTAAAGCTTTTTCTGTACTTACAAATGTCAGCACTTTAAGGTTTGATGTTGCTGAATTTTACAGGACTGAAAGACAGTAATGTTCCCTGTTCAGAGGGTGGAAAATTCACTGTGCCAGTGGTATGAAATACCTATTTTTCTAGTCCTGTAACATCATTAATTTATAACTATTACTGTTGCAGGACTGAATACAGTCTGTCCACTATCTTACATTAATATAATATTCAGAAAAGAAATATCTCATTGACAATTTGATTTCTAATAGAACAGTGAGTATTTCAAAAAGTGTTCAAAGGTTTGGATTATTATAACGAATTCAGGACAAATGGATTAGTGAGTGAGATGGGCAAAGATGGGTGCTAAATGGCATGTGTGATATAGCAGTTAGTAAGGGATTGTTCTAGTTCTAGTGTCCATTAAAACCTGTGGGAATTTTTCCATTGACCTCAGACTATACTGGATCAGCCCCAAATATTAGGCCTTATTATAGATTTGGTGTGGGGGTGGGGGTGTGTGTACACACGTGCTGAGTGTAAATTGTTTCAATTGTAAGTTCTTTGGGACACATCTTTTCCTCGTAAGTAAAGTATCTAGTGTACCGGTAGTCCTACGTGAATAAGTCATGTAACATTTCGTCCTTTTACTTTGAAGTGCTGAAGAAGTGGTGGATGAAGTTGAAATGGACAGTGAAAAAGCAGAGGATGAGTCAGATGAGGATGTAGAGCTTAATGAGGTGGAACAGGATATAAATACTACAGCGTTTTTGGGTGAAATTACACCTAAACTGTCTAAATCTCAGGAAAAAGAACTGCGAAAGATAAGAAGAATGGACTACAGTTGGATAGCTGCTCTCTAGAAACATCAGTATATGCATTTTATAGTTTCATATGAATTTAAATATTAATGTTAATGGATTAAATACTGTGTTCTCCCAAAAAGGCTCTTTCAATCATTCGTCGTGTTTTTTTTATTGGATTCCTTTATTGTAAAGGGTATTTCAAAGCGCATTTTTTTATTGATTGGTTGTTTGGTCTGGTGTGGTGTGGTGTGGTCCGGTCCAACAAAATTGGAAGTGCCAGGAATGGGTCTGTTTTCCATAACATGGAAAGGAAGGGGCACAGAGAGGAGGGATATGATACTGAGAGTGACCACTGAGGACAGACATGCCACCAAGAGAGTTGGCAGCAGGGCTGAGGCTCTGCCATCTTGCATGCTCCCAGACCAGGTAAGTAGCCCCTCTTCCCCTAAACTCTTCCTCATCCCACCCCCACCCCGCCCTTGGCTGCGCTGCTGTAAGGGAAGAGGAAAGGCCTAGGAGGGCTTGGGGAAGAGAGAAGGCCCCGCCTGATGGGACCCCGCCACCCTCAGCTCTTCCTCACCCCTCCAATTCTCTCACTTCCAGCCTCCTGCCCTCTCACGCGTGCGTGCACACCCCCACACCTCCTGACCCCTCTATCGCACGCTACGCCCTGCCCTGCACAAACTCATGCTCCCTCCACACTGCCAGCATCCTTCCCCGAAAGACTTTGGCTATGCCAAGTTAGCCATTTTTTAATATCTTTGAATTAAGAAAGGAAAGCTAGTCTTGGAACTAAAGTACAGGACCTCCAACTTTCTCTCAGACTGTTACCTCAAACAGCTGTTTATCTCTGTTTGCATGTAAAATGTAGATGAAGGACTTGATTCAATTCTGCATTACATTGGCTGATGCCCACAATTCTGTCAGGCAGGAGATAGCTTCTAAAAAGGGTCCCATAACCACTGCTCTGATTGGGGTGGCAGAACAGTTGAGCAGAAAATCAGATATCTCAACCAGCCACTCCACGGTCAGAATCCCTGGGAATTCAGCAGTGCAAACCCTGACTGCCCTAATCCCCTAGAAATAGCAGTTTACCCCACTACTTCCCTTGCCAGCATGGGTAAATGCAGCCTAATATTTCATAGGATAGAAATACATCCCTGACATTTGCTGAGCACTAAGAAATCTTTAGAAGTATCAGGTGCTTCAGATGTTGCTATATTGACACACAGTGTAACATTTCAGAAATCACAACGATCTGAACTTCACTGGAGGAAAAAAGGGAAAAAAAGTACAGCTGCTATATTGCAATGGCAATGAACACTTTAATGAGCGTCTGTTGCATAAATGAAATGCATATTAATCAAAGCTTCTACTAGTGTACACCACAGTGCTCTGCTTTAAGCAAAAACTGAAGCTGACAGCAGAATTTGAAACCTGATCCACAAGCAGATACATAGCTCATTGGGTTTTGCAAAACAAAATTTGACAAGTCAACTGGGTCACTGGGTAAAAGGTCATGCTGCTGGAAATCATTTAACTTTCAAAATATGCAAAATACATATTTTATGTGGCTTTTCAATAAGAATAGATTTTTGGGAGAAGTAGGGAGAACTGTTAAATCATTGATTGTTGCCCTTAGTAATTATTTTAAAACTCTGGATGACAGTTTATTTTAAAACAGATTTGAGGAAAAAATGCCAAAAATTGAAGACAAAAGTCCAATGTCTCCTTGTCCATTCAGAGAGACAGTGGGCTTGATAATATCTTTTATTGGACCAACTTCTGTTCCTGAAGAAAGAAAGGTAGAAGCTATAGCAGCCTGATTTATATTAATACAAGTCCCCATAGTCTTTATTTACTTTAACCCAGCTAATAAGCAAAGGTGTCTAAGAGGAAGTAGAAAGTAAATATCAGAATTCAACAAGGTAGACAAACTTTTTAATGAGTAAAGAATAATACGACTGGTAACTGTACAGGAAAAATTTTTAACCTCTTATTTAATGGGCATTTTGTTGCTCAGTCCCCAGCTCCCACTGTTTAACCCCAGTGTTAGCTTCACCCCTCACTCCCACTATAAACATGCCCTTAATCACTTAATTGTAGGAAGATTTTTTTGAAAAGCTGCCTTTCATGAACTCCAAGCAAGTCTCCAGAACCATTTGGCTAGTTGTATCACTTCTACCATTTCTCTAAAATACAGCTATCCTTGTACAGTCAATTGTTGACTTTAGAATTTTATTAGCAAGTTATCCAACACTCAGATTAATTAACTTTAAATAGTTCAAAGGTTTAAAAAGCAGGAATCTCAAATGTTCAAAGATTATCTATAGTATGGTGCTTAATGTAGTTTTATCTGCCTAAATCAAGCACTGATGCAACTTTCCATTTTGAAAGCCAGAGAAAAAATGCTCAGTACTTCTTGCTGAGCTACTAAATGTATAGAAATGTTGAGGAGAAATATATGTGGGGCTCTAATGGAATCTCAGAGGCTTCCAGAAGTATTCAGAGCATCACACAGAGGGACAATGATGTAGGCAGAACCCACTTCTCTTCCACATAGATGGGAAGACTGAACCAGCATGTTGGAGACTTCTGCAATGGACTTAGCCACCTGTACGTAAGAAAATAGAGAGCACACAGTACTGCCTTATGTCTTTTTTAGAGTATCATTTATTCTGCTCTATTGTAACAAATAGAGTAAATGCTCTTGTGTATTAAAGCACCTTATTCTGAGTGCTGCAATACAGGGTCCAACTGTCTAGCTCTGTTATCTGTGACTATCCCTGAAACTCCCCCCAAAGCTTAAACACACCCTCTCCCAACTCCAGGCGTAGGCCTTGTGAATCCACTGGTTTACTCTTCAAAGGTAAGTATAATGTATAGCACAGAGAGACTTTGCAGAGGATTCTAAACACCATTGTTCTTTATGTAATTGCATGAGAAATGTACAGATCTATACAAAGAGGATAAAACCTAAATGCATTTCCCTGTGTCAGTTCCTCTCCTTTCTAGTTCTTTGTCTCTTTTTCCAAGTCAGCTTGTTTTGCCTTTGGTTGGTCTCCAGCTAAACCAGGTACCCCTGCTTTGAAAACGTGCCATTTCTTCCCCTCCTCCTGTCCCAAACTTCCCGAGTGGCTCCTTGAGTTTCCACTCTCACAGCCAGCTGCTGGTTTTTAAAGTACCTACACTTTGGATTCTTTAACCTGTGCTTGGGGATTTTCCACTATCCAAATACTAGCTTCTTTAGCTAACCAACCTCCTTAGCATATCCACAGTGTGGTCAGGATGCAATAACCACTCTACTGGCCCTAGTTTGATGGTTAAAATCTACAAACCTTGTCAGCCTTTGATCAAGTCCACATTTATGTAGAAGCATTTGGTGAGCTAAAAGAAAATAATCTCACAGCCCAGGTTTTAAATAGATGAGCCTTGTTTGCTTCTACATATAAACCAGAGGCAGTTTAAGCTAATCTACAGGGACAGGCATCAAATTTTATGGAACATGGATTTCTTATACAGACTTTCTCTGTATTGAGGCCTACACTGAGGCCATGTCTATACTTACCCATGAATTGATGCTCTGGAGATGGATCTTCTGGTGTTCAATTTAGTGTGTCTAGTAAGGACCTGCTAATGCTCATCGATGCCAGTATTCCTACTCTTTGTGAGGGGTAAGGGATTCCCTATGTCACAAGCATTCTATGCTTACCATAGACGAAGGTTCCAATTCTACACTCAGCTTTGTGCATGTGGACCATGTGCCTACAAAGAGGCCCATTCAGCATTTGTCTACACACAGCTTAATTGCAGGAGCAGGGTCATTTTCCCCAATGGAAACTTGTACTAACCCTTCCTACCAAAAACTTACCGATTTCTCTTTACCTTTCAAAGAGGGTAAATTATGACTTACTAGGTAGCAGTTTCTATTATTATAATACAGTGAACCCTCGTTTATCGCGGTAGATAGGTTCCAAACCCGACCGCGATAGCTGAAAATCCGCGAAGTAGGGACACCATATTTACGTACTGTAAATAGAAACCGATAGGTCCCCCCACCCCCTACAAAGTTTCCCCTGTGATTAGCCTATACTGTATTGTAATTCCATATCATTCTTTAATGCTGCACAAAAGCCATCTGTAATGACGAATGATATGAAAGTATAAAGACAATAGGCAAGCACGATATGATACGGATATAAAAAAAGTCCGCGAAGTCGTGAATCCGCGATGGTCGAACCGCGAAGTAGCGAGGGCTCACTGTACTTTTGTCTTTCCCCTAATGTCTTTTACTTGTTTTTGAAAGGGGAAAAATGAGAGAGAACATGCCAGAATTTGTCTAGAGAAATGTTCTGTCATCTAGAGCTGCATATTTGATGTCCTATGTAATGTGTATATCTGGCTGACAATCATTGAGCTATTTTCCACTCGGGTGTTCTCCATATATCTCCATCTGCCAATACCCAAAGATGTGATTTGCCTGTGATGATCATTTTTTACTCTTATCCATATTTTGAACTATGAATTAAAGTGGGAGCAACTTGAAATGGTGTGAGCCTTCCTTTCCAAGTATGTGTTTTCTGTAACTATTTAATCCAAAAACGACAGATATCTGTTAGTCCAGTGGTCCCCAACCTTTCAGGGCTGCTGGGCGCCCGGGGGGCAGGGCCGCCCGGGGGGCAGGCGTCTGGGGGCGGGGCCGCTCATGCACCGCGTACCCAGGTGCGGGGCCGTTTGTGCCATGCACCCGGGCCAGGAGCCGCCCATGAACCGTGTGCCCAGAGCTTGCACTGCGCATGTGCCACATTCCCGCAAGCGGGGCCACCCATGCGCCACGTGCCCGGGGCCGGCACCATGCAGGAGGGAGGGAGACAGGAGGACAGCTTTCCCTGTCTTAGAGACAGCACGTGACTTCTCTCAGAAACTGTCACTGTCACATACATCCAGTCTATGCCCCTCACACACTGCCATACAAACTCTACCAGTCTCTGTGCCTACACACTGTCACAAAGGCCGTCTCTCGCACACAGAGTGTCTCTCTTTCAGACTCAAATACTCTCTCTGGCTGTATCTACATTGGCAAGATTTTGTGCAAAAGCAATTGCTTTTGCGCAAAAACTTGCCGCCTGTCTACAGTGGCCGCGAGTTTTTGTGC